GGGGGGGGGGGGGGGGGGGGGGGGGGGGGGGGGGGGGGCGGTTCAAAATTTTCAGCGTTTTCACCACTTCAAAATTTTTAGAATTTTCGGCGCCAATATCCATCTGGACACCTTGGGGGGTTGTTCAAAAGTCTCAGCATCTTCACCACTTTAAAGTTTTCAGAATCTTCAATGTCAATATGCATTCAGATATAAGGGGGACATTTAGATTATTGAACATCTTCACCACTTACAGAATTTTCTGAATGTTCAACATTATCCAAAGGAGGGACATTCAACATTTTCCGCACGTTGAAACTTGAAACCCCATTTCAGAAAACTTCAAAATCATGGAATCTTTTTCCACTTCAGAATTACTTTCAGTGAAGAATCAACGAGTCGTTGACCGCTTGTGCATGAAGTAATTCCGATGGTTGGAGCATTCTGTGAACATTAAAACAGAAGATGAACAAGGTTTGGCCACTTCTGTGTGTGTCTGTAAAGAGCACCATGAATCACCACCACCTCACACACACACACACACACACACACACACACACAGAGGGGGGGGGGGGGGGGGGGGGGGGGGAGGAGGAGGGAACACAAATGGAGTCTACGAGTCCCTACATGTACAGAGTGCTGATCTGAAAGCACCCATGTCTCCCCTGGATCAGGGTGTGCCCTCCTTCCCCTCGCAATCTCATTTGCTGTTGAGTCATCGAGTACACCTGTTGTATCGCCAAAACAAACAGCAAAATGACAAGCAAGAACTTTTAGACATCCCTTCCATGAGTTTTCTGTCTAAATTGTCACACATGTGTGCAAGTAAGGATGACACATTTGACAAAGCTTTGTGAATGTTGCAAGTATTCAGAGTTTGCTTGGGGTTGGTAAAGTCAGATATGCACACCCTAAGCTTACGTGATACCTTCACAGTGGCTGAATTGAACATAATACTACACACACATAAGTAGTGATAAGACATGCAAGCTCGGCCCCTGAGGCTACAACAATGTATCGGTCTTAGTACCACAATTCTCAGGCCTAGCCCCTTTTCAACAATAAAAGTTAAAAGAGAAAATTCAAAAAATTGTGTATCCTTGATTCCTTATGTGGTTACAGAGTAAGCATACCTTTTGCACGGAAAAAGCCACTTGAAAGTTGAATGCAAAATTGACTGAGAAATTGTGAGAATCGACTCAGATTGACTCAGACTGATAAGAATATGCCAAACTTCAACTTCTTGAAAATGACAATTGGAAGAAAGATTTACACCAAGCTTGTTTTGAAATTTGAACAATCACAACAGCATACTCGAAAAAAACGTGAGCCACTTGGGCGGTAGGCTGCGCTGAGTAACATTAAACAAGCGATGCTAAAAAAACGTGTGGTATAGAGCCAGAACAAACTAGCCATGGATCCGCCCGAACTCTCTCCTTCAACTGCTAAGATTAGCACTGCTGCTGCTCCTCGTCACTTCACAAAAATCGTGAACTGAAACTGAATGAATTCTACTCCTAACTCGTCGTATTTTACTTTGCCAATTTTGCCTAGTCCTACAGGGAATTTTGCTTGGGCCTACAGGGTCTTATGTGTCCAAGAGCAGCTAACAGTATGCTTACTTGGAGGCCCCAAGCTTGGATCTGACCAATTTGCCTGGGCCTACAGGGAATTTTGCCTTGAGAACCTATTAACAAGACAAACATCTAGTCTGTGTAGCATCGCGCTCGGACTCGGTGACCGAACCCGAATGCTCGGTACCGAGGCCGAACGTGGCCCAAAATGGACCGAGCCCGAACTTATTTTTATTTTTATTTTTTATATATAGGGGTTGGGGGGCCATGGGGGGCATCGCTCATCACTCCTGAAGATACACACACCCACACACACCATACACACACACCCCAGACACCCCACACACACCCCACACACACCCCACACACCACACACACATGAGGACGCGCTCGGCAGCCCCCTAATTTGCGCTCGACCGAACATGTTCTGTTCCTGCTCGGCCGAGCGTCCGAACACGTTCGGCTGCTCGGTGGGGCGCTGAACATGTTCGGTGTGCTACGCAGCATCTAGTATACAAAATTACAAATGTAAAATAACTCCGACTGTAGTCATTCTCTTCTTCTCCTTTGTTGTCGAAGGCTTCTCTCTTAATCTGCTGCCATTCGAGTTGCTCTCTTCATCAGAGTATTTTTGTTTACCCACTCTTCTTCTTCATCGTCTCTGATCGTATTGGAACTTGACTATTTATATTTTTGCTCGGCCTCCCTCTATGTCTTCGTCCATATCGGTGATCGACGACCTTCTCTACATCTGCCCTTCCATCCATGGTGGGTGGATGCATACTTTTTCTACCCTTGAGCTTGGATGACGTGTACAACATCAATTTGGAAACATGTAAAAGAGGGGTGGCACTGCAAGCAGATAGGTTGACCCTATTGCACTGTCCGCAGCCACCCTCAATATCTCCCAAGATCTACACCACTTCGGCATATGTTTTCTGGATACTCCATCCTCTTACGCTAACTCATCCATGCTCTTCCGAGCAAGGCCTCCCTCTTGGAATAGGGAAGGTCTGTGGTGTCGATTGGTTGCAACAACCATACGTTTCTGCGCCTTCTACATATCCTGCCTTGCCTCCTGAAGTTCATCAGTGAACGGCTTGGTGAACTCTGTTGTTCCGGGAGGATACTTCTGCTGCCGATCTGGAATAAAAAAATCAACTGGTGTACGCAACGGTTTAAAAAAAAAAAAAAAAAAAAAAAAAAACTGGTGTACGCAACTTCCATCCAAGATGAAGAGCATGAGGTCTCCACGTTGTGGTTGGGTGTAAACTGAGGAGTATAACCACTCTCGACCCTTAGCCAATTTTCGGTCTCAGTCAATCTGATTGGGCCTGATTAGGTGGTGCAGGAACTGCTGAACGGTATAGTCCATGCGCTCAGTTTGTGCGTCCGCTTGGGGGTGATTGACATAACTCATCTTCCGTTCTATATCAGCAAACTCCATCAGGTTGGCCCACATCTCACTAGAAAAGCGGGAATCTCTGTCAGTCTCACGGTTTGAATAGACCTTAAAGGGTTTCCCTAGTAGTAATGTCTTCAAGCTTAAAGGTCTCTCTCATAGGTATTGGTTGCAACTCTTTTTGAAGGCATCTTCTTTGATGAGTGTTACACAAGTAATAAAGCTCGCCCATGCTTATGTTATGCCACTGCTCCAGTACCAAACAAACTAGCATTAATGGTTGGCACAAATGGCATTGCACAATCCCGAACCTTCAGGATAGGACATCTAACAAGGCATTCCTTGAGCCTGAAAGGACTCAAATGGGGCATCCTTCTCAGTCAATTATGTCAACAGTGCGGCAATGGTGGCTCAACCTTCAATTAATTTCTTATAGTAATTGACCATGTCCAAGAATGACCGCACATCTCTCACATCTTGTGGCCTTGGGTGCTCTGCGTGACACAGTGTCACACGCACACCCACACACACCCACAGACACAGACAGACACAGACAGCCAGACAGACACACACACACACACACACACACACACACACACA